CTGTTGTTGTTGTGTAACCTTTAAACCTGCTGTTATGGGTCAATGTTGTGTTTTCGTTTGGAAAGCTGCTCATGGAGGTCGCTTCAGACCAGCTTATCGAGACTTGTGACCTCCATTCAGCTGGAGGTGTGATTGGAAGAAGACGAAGAAGAAGAAGAAGAAGAAGAAGAAGAAGAAGAAGATGAAGAAGAAGAAGAAGAAGAGCTGATATTTCAGTGGATTTTTCTGAGGTCTCAGTCTTCAGTCATTCAGAGAAAACACTCAGCTCAGGAAAAAGCTCCGATCTACTTCAACTCTTTGATAAAGACTCTGAACTCCAGAATAAACCGTCGTTCTCTCTGCAGATCTGAAGCTCTCTCACAGTCATGAAACCATCTGAGCCACAGGGAAGCCTCTGTAACATGGTGGATTACTGCAGCAGAGAGCGCCGACACAAAACCAAAGACAACCTGTTCTGAACAGAGAGCATAGATAAAGAAGAGTAGATCACAATTCTCATGAATATAGATGTCTAAATGAAGAATCCAGAGAGTCCAGCTGAGGTTGATCTGCTGCTGCATCACTGAGTGTGAGTTCACACGTCTCCATCTAAGAGCTGTGATCAGGACTGTACAGACCTGCAGGGGTGTGCTGCCTGAAAAGCACACACAACACACACACACACACACACACAGACTCACACACAGATGCAACACATGCAACCAGAGCGAGGTGTTAGAGCTGGACTCACGCTCAAAGAGCACAACGCTCATTCTCATGTTCACGCTTCAATCCAACGACCACAAGCTCCTCCTGAGGGCGAGAGAGAATTATTCAGCCGCTCAGGAAAAGCTTGTTCTGCAGCCGCAGAGACATCTGCTGCTTCTATACCTGCAAATGGAAGATTACACACACACACACACACACACACACAGGATAACGTGCACGAGCAGAGAAACCACAGAGGAAACCACATCCAGCTGCACCAGAGGAAGAGGACCACAGATCTGAGGGGATCCTGAGTGACCCGTGTGGACTAAAAACACCAGAGAGAGGGTCCTGAACCATGATGAACCAATCACATGTGGAATCTAGGTTTACTAAAGAATCATCACCCTGAACCAGAGCGGTGAGTCTGCTTTAATCTTGTTTTCATGTGGATAAATGTGATCATATTTGACCAAACTCCTCCTCAAAACTCCATCAGGGAAATAAAAACCTAAAAATGACTCAAAGTCAGGAGTTTTTTAATCTCTCCATGTCTGATTTGATCTTAAATTTACTCTAAAGTTCTCAGGATTGACCTATAAACTCAGCTCAGACTTCTCTCCTTGTCCTTGTATAAAAAAGAGAGAACTGAATTATTGACATGAACGTGTTCTCCTCCCCCAACACTAGGGGGCGATATGGGTCTTTTCAGCGGCGCTGTTTCCGACCCCATCCAACCGTCAACAACAACAGCAGGTCGGTGTCAGACGTCAGAAGTGTCTACAACTGCTGCTGGGCATTTTGGAGAAACAAGAAGATGGAGCATCGTACAGCGTTGTTTTTGTCCGACATGATGGACGCGCTACTTTTTCTAAAGAGGAGACCAACGCTACTCCTCTACTCTGGGGGTTTGTTACAGGGTTACGGGGGCGTGGCTTATGAAACCTTTCATGGAAAATATAGGATTTAATAATTCACTGGATTAATTTTCCTGACATGTGATAAGAACTTATTTTAACCTCCTTGGATGTTTTAATGAGGAAGAATTTGAATCCGATACTTTTTTGTGGCGTGCTCAGAGTGATATCTCAGGGTGAACATTTATTGTCCGATCATACTCCAACTACGCTGGTTACATGGTTGAGAAAATCGGATTCCAATCACATTATCTGGGTGTCTTAATCAGAGTTCTTAAACTCAGATTATAGTCGGACTAAGGTGTTTACGTGACCTTCAGTTGTCCGGTCTTAATCGGAATAAGCCGATAATTTGGTTTTTTTGCTTGTCATGAAATGTATTGAGTGTTGGACTGTGGAGGTGTCCACCAGGGCCTCAGCATCCACAACTTAAAGGTAGGGTAGTCAGGATTCTGTCCGCTCTTTCTGACTGTAAACAAAGCCGTTCTCCACCTCCTCTAACCTGATTGGTTGTGAGGCAGACGCTGCTCCCCCGTGTCGTTCAGGAGCCCAAACAAAGTTAGCGTGCTACAATATCGGACAGTAGAAACCAACCAGAAAGTTCGGAAAATTGTCTGAATCCTCCTTTGGCCACGACTGCCGACACAAGCAAGAAAACAAAGTAAATACCGGAGACTCTGGAGGAATAACGGGCGCTTAAAACGGAGGTAGACCGGACAAGAGCTAAAAAGCCGGGTCAACATAAACCATGGGGGACGCTTGGGGATCTTGGTGACCCTGTAACCTTTCTGCTGGACAGGTAAACCGCTTTAACAAAGTAAGACAAGTGTCTGTAACAGAAGTGTTTCTTGTCAAACGGACCTGCTGTAGCGTGTTGTAGCGCCATCGCTAAACTGTCCTCCCTCGGGTCCTGGACTATGTCACTTTATCCTCGTTGTAGAAGTCCTGCAAACATTGTGTTTGCTGGTAGTCTGTTGGCATCTACAGTAGCACCAGTGCTTTTGACTTTCACCTTGACTGGGCCCCAGAGTCGAGATTCTTCCACGCCGTCTAAGCGTTGAGCTCATCGTCTCAGCGCCACGTTTGAAACCCATTTAGAAATATTGTGTTTTCTCAGCCGTGTCTAAACTCTCTGAAAATCCTTCGCCATGTTAACCAGATTACAGACACACTCACACTAACACACACACACCTCCCAGTGTGCTCAAAAGGTCAAAAGGCCCGCCCACCACGCCGGCATCCATTGTGGTTTCCACTGACTGATTGAACATCGATCAGATTTGAGTCTCTCACAGCTGCAGAGACCAATCAGATTCCTCCTCTGAGGCACATTGACCAATCACAGCCCTCTTCATCAGCTCCTTCTCCATCATTTGCTGATAAATCCTCACAGAAGGATCAGGAGCGTGGCGTTTCCACGTCCATGTCTTGGCTCTTCCTCTGGTTTGTTGTATTTACTCGTGTTTGTTCGCAGTAATCCTGGATCGCTCTCCTCGGCTGTGAACGCAGATTTTCTCCCCGGGGACGCCGAAGGAGCCGTCCATCTGTGTGTCCATCCATCCCCCCGTTCCTCTCATCGGAGGACAAGTTTCATGTCCTGAGGATGCAGAACATGAACATTGAGTTCCTCCTCTGCTCCTCTGCTCCTCTGAAGTTTGCAGTCCTCTCATGTTCTGCTCCTCCGTCATGATTACAGCTCTCAGCCCATAAATCACCTTTATCAAACTCAGCCTGACATCTTAGCATGATGGAGGCGCCGCCGTTTAGAGCCACTCTGTCACCCACCCTCCTGAGAGAGAGAACCCATGAGTAAACTGGGTGCCTCCTCCCTCCCTTCCTTTCCTACCTTCCTTCCTCCCTTCTACCTCTCTAGGCCACCGCAGTGCTGCCTGAGCCGCAGCCGAGCTCTGGAGTCTCAAACCTGTGGAGAGATTTCTGTTTCTCTCTGCTGCTAAACTTCACAGTCGGATCAGGATGAGGAGGAGAAAAGGAGCCTGAATCAGGGAGTGTGTGTGTGTGTGTGTGTGTGAGTGTGTGTGTGTGTGTGTGTGTGTGTGTGTCTAAATTCTCCTTCCTTCTCCCTAAACTCAGGATTTGTGCCCAAAAGTGACTCGACTGAAAAGGAGCCGAGCTCTCAGGATCCTCCTCCTGATGTTTCCGAGCTCTCACAGACGCCGTTTGTCCCTTTTGTCATCTCTCCCCCTGGAAGAGTTGATTAACATTTCACTCACGTCCAATTCAAAGTTCAGGCTTATAGATGAGGGGAGGTGAGAGAGAGAGAGAGAGGAGGGGGAGGAGGGAGAGAGAGGAAGGGAGGAGGATAGATGGATAAACCGAAACCCTCCAAACACCCACGTCAGGCCGGGTCCTCCTCCTGTGAATTTGGACATGAGAGAAGGGAGGATGAGGAAGGATGGATGAGGATGGAGAGGTGGAGGGATGGTGCAGCGCAACACTTTGCGGTCAGTTCTCGCTGCGTGCGTCTGGATGCAACAGCCTAATATCTCTCTCTCTCTCTCTCTCTCTCTCTCTCTCTCTCTCCCTCTCTCTCTCTCTCTCTCTCTCTCTCTTTCCTGGCACGGATCGGAATGATAATCAGGTGTGAGGTCGGCAGCTTTTTGGCCAGAGGAGGGAGGAGGTTTGAAAATCGGTGCACACACACACACACACACACACACACACACACACACACACACACACACACTTATTTTTAACTTACACACACTTATCTGATCTTATTCCACGAACACACCGCCTCTCCAGCTAACATGCAGCCCCCCCTAAAAAGAGGAGCCCGCTGGTCTCTTACCGATGTGAATGATGGAGTCGGCGCTCACTGTGTTGCATTGCAATATCCACAGGGAATGAAATAACAATGTCAGCATTTCCATCTCCAGTTTGAGCCAAAAAGGCGCATCCACGGATCCACCTCGCTGATTTTGGCGTTTTTCTCCAGTGATGAGCAAATCCAAAAATAAGCGTCGGTGCGTAAAAGCGGCAGCAGCAGCAGCAGCAGCAGAGAGGAAGAGTGCTGAGAGAAATCACCACCGAACAGTGTCAGAAAAAACAAATCCCAAAGAGCAAACTGTTGGCCAGAGTGGAGAGAAAGAAAAGGGTAGAAAAAAGAGCAAGTAGACGCTTCCAGGGCTCCGGAGAGAAACAGACCCGGCTGAGAGAGGAGGGGAGCGGGGACGGAGGAGAGGAGACACCGGGGGTTTGATTCAGAGGTTGAGATCCGCCAGACGAGCAGCTCTGACTCTCTACCTCCGAGTCTGAGACATAACACACTGCAAACTGCGGAGGAGGAGGAGGAGGTGGAGGAGGAGGAGGAGGGACGCTCTCTCTCACTTTCTCTGTCCCTCTATCCCTCTCTCTCTCTTCTCCCCCGACCCACGTGACTGCAGAGCCTCTATCTACGGCGCTGGAAGCCCGACCGGAGAAACGAGAGGCGAGGGATGGTGATGGAGAGAGATGGAGGATGGATGGGGGTGGACGGACGGACGGGAGGACGGGAGGACGGGAGCCGGTGCGCACAACAGAGGATCCGGGTTTGGAGAGATCCTCGGGTCCCGGACAGTCAGGCGCTCGATCCCGGGGTGGGTAGGTTTTGCGGGATGATGAGTCCGGATGCTGGAAAGTCTGGGAGGTCTGGTGGTTACTGGGGGATGAAGTTGCGGCGCTGAAGTTGGTTTATTCACCGCAGACGACAGGAGCCTTCAGCGCTGCACTGCCGCGTTGCGTGATGTGGACGGACCCGGTCTGCTGCAGATGCGGCATTTGAGAGATCGGCGCTCTTGCGTGAATTCAAGACAACACTGGGGGGTCGGTTTCTGCTCCTCCACTGAAGGATGTGAATTCTTAAAGTTCCTCAAAGTGTGACATCCATGTGAAGCGACAGTTTCTCACCGCGGGCAGCTTGGAGAGGCTGTGGATGGAGCGCGGCGCGCGGAGAGGACACACCAGAGCGCGAGAAGGTTCGGTTTAAATCGCGATTTCTTTCCACTCGGATGAATAAACCCCCGATCATGCGTACTCGGCTCATGTGTTACGCGCTTTAGCCTCCGGATACAAGGTGAGAAGTGGTTTTGGCGTCGCGGCGTGCGTAAAAACGCCCCCGCACTGCGCCGCTGAGGGTTTTTCTACAACAGGGGGGCGAGGAAGAGGAATGGGAAGACTGGAGGAAGACTCTCTGGGAATGAGGGGATGAAGGAGAGGAAAGGAAAGGAGGGGAGAGGAGAGGAGAGGAGGGGAGGTGTGTCGCATGTTCCTGCTGGTACTTCTTAACAAGTCAGCAGCAGAGAGTCTCCTCACGCTGCTGCAGCTTCTCCTCAAACCCGAGTTACCAGATTAATCTGTGGCCCCCTGACTGACTGAGGGGGTCCAACTGTGGGCGTGGGTGTCTCTGTGACCTGTCTGACCTTTCACATGTCTTTCCAGATGTTCACATCAGGAGCAAATTCAGGACCTATGGGGGCCAGCAGAGGAGAAGTGAGGATTACTAGACTTGACCTTACAATTAAAGGATATTTCTTGCGAATGAAGGTGACTCAGAAATGTCTTTTAATTGTTTGGTTAAGTCTAGTTCGGCGAGAGTCCAGGTGGACCTGCAGTGAACCTCCTGAGAGTTTCAGCACCAGAGTGGAGAGGACAGCTCCTCCAGAGCCAGCAGCAGAACTCTGTACGGGGGCCCACATGTGACAAATGTAGGCTAACTGTATCTATATTTAAAAAACTGACTCAGGAGAAAGTTGGCACCAATTTTTAAAATATTTTTGATGTCTCCATCATTAATACCGAGCAGAGTGATAATAAAATCATTTTCTAGGAATTTATCGTAAAATAGAATAAAAAAAAAACATGAAGTGGCTCAAAAAAAGAGAAAACTGAAGAATATTCAGAATATTCAGCTACGCAATGATATTTAAAAGACATGGATGATGTTTTTTATGTAGACAGACTATCATTTTGAAGTTTTTAAAGTTTGATTTTTAGCAGAGCAGATGTATTTTATTCTCAAACATGTAAACTTTTGTAAAAATGTGTAAAAACGTCTTTTCTTTGAATGTCTCCAGATTATTCATGTTCACTGCGTCAGTTTGTGTCGAATATCTGCTGCGTCTAAAACAGCTGCCTCATATTTGAGGAATCACAGTTCTGAGTTCATAATCTTATTTTCTCAGTTTTAATAACATCAGTTTTTGTATTTTTGACTTTTCAGAGAAGTTTTGAGCGAGATTTGAGGTCTGATGACCTCCTGACCTTCTGTTCGGTGTCACTGCAGCTAAAATGAGCGATGAGCTGAAATAAACTGAACTGAGAGTAAACTTGTGAGTGTCTGTGTGATTTTAAGAACTTCATGAACTCTCTCTCACTGAACACAGATGAGCTCCTCACTCATGAAACCATCACTCTGTTTCCTCCACACATGATTATGAGTATGAGTGATTAAAATGAAGAGTAATAATGATTTAATGTTTGATTTTCTCCATACAAACTAAAAACAAACGAACAAATAACTCATTTCATGACCTGAACATACATTAACTATAAAAAGAGGAACTCATTTCTCACCCATGGAGGAAATTTAACTTCATCTCATCAAACTAAAAGTAAAATATGATTTTTGTTTTTAATCTTTGAGTTAAATTCAATATTTTAAACATTATCAGTCATTATAGTGAATAAAAAAAGCCTCTCCATTATTATAAAGCAGCAGGATAACAGGTCTATAGATGGAACATCACACCCCCTACTGGTGATAAGAAGGTACTGCAGGGTTTTTATACTGAAAAGACAGAGAGAGAAAGAGGAGGAAGAAAGATGTTTGAGTCAAATTAAAGAAATGTAAATTCATCAAAACAAAAGGTCACGGTCCTTTCAGACAAACAGACTCATGTTTGAAGACGTTTACTCTAAAGAGGACAACATGTCATTTATCCTTCCTCCTGTGTTCGCTTTTACACCCTCCATGTTAAGGGTCGGTTCTGACCCGTGTCTTAAATCAGCTGTAAATTAAAAATATTTCTCTATCCTCAGGTCTGTGCGGACACTAACACAGGAGGAGGGTTAAAACTGCTGGACTGACTTCATGCTCCAGGACTCTGTTTTTATCTCTGCAGTGATTTTCTCTCCTAATCCTGTTTTTTTAGATGTTTGTCAGCTGACGTCGCCTTAGTCTGACGGTTTCACCATAATTTTAATATTTACAAGCAGAGCTGAAAATCGAAGGACAAACCGTCTCATACTTGAGGATTTTGGAGCAGTTATGAGAACAATTAAACAGGTAATTAGTGTTTATATCCTTATTTGATGATCTTCTGTTTCATTAAAGAGGATAATTATAATGTTGAAGAGTTTTTTAACGACCATGTCTCAATGATGGAGATATTCAGGAGAAAGTAGATACAGAAATCATTATTATCCGAGTCAAACAGTCGACCCATTAACACATCGGACATGGATCAGCTCAGTAACCCTTTTGGAAAATGCTGACTCAGCCTAACCTTAAACGGTAAAGAGGCGGAGCTTAGGCGGAGCTTAAGCCTCCTCAGTGAGGCCGCCTGTCCGTCGAATTGAACAATCGAACAGTAACAGTAACTTTTGTTAAACTCAAAATCTTAGGAGGGACGTCTGAGCGTTTTTAAAGTGAGGTTGTTTGAGTCACATGACACTGGTGCGTGTCTTAACCACGGTGGATGACGGTGAACTGAGACCCTTTAACGGGAAACCACCGGGTCAGCATGATTCAGCTCATTTCAAAGACTCACTTCTTACTTTTTTTTGTGCTCCAAGAAAGTAAAAACCCACAGACACACAACTGCTGATGATTGTGAACTTTTAGGTTTTTGTAGGATATTAAACACGTGTGTATTGTGTTGTGTTGTGTTGCTAACGTCACAGCAGGAGCCCGTTTCCTTCAAAATGAAGTCGATTTTGTACCTGGATTATTGTCAGGTGTTGGCGCCTCAGGACACAGACCTTTATTGAACAAACTGAGAGAGAGAATGTCCTCCAGGTTATTGACACGTTTCATCTTCTGAATGTCCACCTGTGGGGACAAACAGCAGCTCTGGTCTTCTGTCTTTGAGTTTTAGAGCTGACGTGTCCTGCTGCTGCTGCTGCTGCTGCTGCTGCTGCTGCTGGTGCTGCGTGTAAAGTCAGCGTGGATCTCTCTGCAAAGTGAAGTGTCACTTTGGTTATAAAAGCCATGATTATTTTATAAGACGAGGAGAGCGGAGGAGAGGAGGAGGAGGAGGAGTGACTTCATTCTTCCTCTGCAGCTGAACGCACGCACAACTATCCTCACCCCCTCCTCTGAAATCATGTCAAAAGTCTGAAACCGTCGGCTCACCCCGCACTCACAGGCTCCTCCTCCTCTTCCTCTTAAAATAAACTCCTCCTCCTCCTCCTCCTCCTCCTCGGACTCTCTCCTCCATCTGTTCTGTCGGCACTAACTCCAGCGTGGATGACAATCTAATTGCGTCCTCATCTCTCTTCTGTTTAATGGGCTGTCAGGTAACATCATTACACACTGACAATAAGTGTGTGTGTGTGTGTGTGTGTGTGTGTGTGTGTGTGTGTGTGTGTGTGTGTGTGTGTGTGTGTGTGTGTGTGTGTGTGTGTGTGTGTGTCACAAACAGATCTTGTAGGAATTGGTGGACGGCGGATCGAAGCCGTTCCGGATACGGTGGGAATTGGGGGTTAGACACCAGTCCAAAATGAAGAGTTCTGTTTTCATGATTTCATATTTTGCCCTGAAGATGGCGCTTGATAAAAAAACACCTTTTTAACATTTTCTCTCTTATCGTGCATCTAAAGTAGGACTGATTTAACCGCGTTTTATAGTCTAAGACGACACACGCCTACCAAGGAGGTCAGAGGTCAGTAAATCAGTCACAGCACGCAGCAGCTTCACCAACAGACCGAACATGAATGAAGTTTTTTTAGGGTTAATAAAGCAGCAGGAAGATCTACTCTGATTTAGTCTGTTTCCTCCAAACCAACAGGAAAGGAGTCAGATCTTTGTGAGGATGGACTCAGCGGATGACGAAGAGTCGGACAATCGTGTCGGTGATAATTTCAGAGGAAAATAAAGACGGTTTAGTTTCAGAGGAGTGTGATCGAGTCACAGATCACATCCATCAGCTGAGGACAACAAGACTTCAGAGCAGGAAACGTGTGTGTGTGTGTGTGTGTGTGTGTGTGTGTGTGTGTGTGTGTGTGTGTGTGTGTGTGTGTGTGTGTGTGTGTGTGTGTGTCTATAAATACTCCTGCTGTCACTGCGTCTCTTTCTTTCATCGATTATTTCGAGTCAAACCCAAAATAAACGGTGCTGCTCGGTTCTGTCAGCAGCGGTGTTTGAAGCTCTACTGTACTCCTCTATTTTTGGAAAGGTTAGACTCAGGGGCCATCGCCGCCGCCGCCATTTTCTGTTACCTGTCAGTCTATTTTGGTCTGATCTGAAGAAGCTCTTCCCCCTGAGGAGGATCTGAAAAAAGATCACGTTTGAGGACCAAAATTCACTCCTTTCTAAACGAGTCTGAGAGCGGAGGACGGGGTTAAAACAAACTTCTGTTTCTTAAACTTGGAGCCGAACACGAAATCATCCAAATCTAACCGCCGTTTTCTACATTTATGCTCAAATACGACGCAGAGAGCTTCTTAAAATCATACAGATCAAACAATTCAGACATACGAGGACAAATCTGTCTTCTCTTTATTCATGGATGCAGAGTTTGATTTGATATTTTACTCTTCAGGTTCGTCCTTCAGCTGAAGGCAACAGGTCGGGCTCAGCTGTCGATACGCTGGACTTTTATTACTGAATTTTTGAGCAGCTGAGATCTTCTCAGGAACTCGCTCTGAATACTAACAGGAAATCAACCTCTGATGGTACGAGGAGAGTTTCTGAAATAAGAAATCAGGAGAAGAACTTCAGACTCTTCTGAGGAAATATGTCAACAGATTCACAACGAAACCGGATTCTGAGAGGCTCAAATCAACAAACTGAACCGTCGGTTTCTGGACCCAAAGATGGCGGTCAGTGACGACTCTGACCAGCTTCTGATTGAACTAAAAGCCATCTGTAACATAACATCTATAATCTACAAGGAACTATTCAATCTGTTGGTCAAATAAGTCCCGCCCCTTTGTGATTCATGGTTTTAATCTGACAATAACAAAAATAGAAGAGTAATACGTGAACAAACATCGGTGGTTTTATCCTGAATAAATACAGAAGGTTAAGAGACCAAGACTGATTTTCATACGAGGCCCTAAAAATGATAAAATCGACATTTTCCGACACATGAGCTCTAAAGATGACCTCTGCCCCAGGTGGACACTCCAGGTACTGCAGTCTTTTGGTGCTTTAATACTAATAAACAACATAAACGCAAACGCAGCTACGATTCTGTCTTCAGACTGACCTTTGAGAAAAACTCTGAGACCGTTTGTCTGAAAGGTTTTCTTATAAAAACTCGATTTTATTTCATCCATCCTGATTATTTTAATGATTTAGTATAAAACGAAAATGCTCTTTATCAGCATTTATTTCTCCTATTAGCTGGTTTCATCTAACCTTCGATTTTTATGAAACTTTATGATGTTAAAAATTATAAAATATTTTACAATGATGAGAAAGAAACTAAACTTTTATTTCATTAGAGTTTTTGTAACAGATGGACGTTTCTTTACATCTCTGCTCATTCCTGGAGGGACGGACTCAGACATAAGTGAACGCGCAGATATAAGTTCAGGGTTCGAGTGTAAAAAAACTTCAGGACTTTGAAATGAAACCTGTGAGTGATCTATATTCAGGATCTATATTCAGGACACACTCAGGATGGTGGAGGTCAGTTAGTCGAGGTTTTCTACTCTAAAATAAACTTTGTTGTTATGAGCGTGGAGTCGTGTAAAAAAGTTCTTTTAGTTGAGAGAAATAACCTGATTGGATTATCGGCCTGTAAACAAACTCCTGTGATAAAACTGTTAGAAGAAAACTCAAACTTCAGGATGTGTCTCTGCAGCTTTAATGATATAAATATATGAGCTGAATATATTTGTGTCGGTGTTGAAACTAAAATGACAAACATTAGAGATGAAGATATAGGAGCTCATTTTGAACTTTGGTCCAACATCAGGAGTTTGAAGTTGTTCCTCCTCTAATGGAATCACACTTGGCCCACATTTACCCAAACAGACTACAGGATCTGTTCCAGCGTTTTTGCTCATTTACCGCCGCGCTCCCCGAGGGTAATAAAAACCGCTTTTTATACGAACAATAACTCAAACTTGCTTTTGTGCCAGACTTTCATTTATCAAA